TGAAAACCAGATGCTGAAGACTGTCAATTACTTTATTAGTTGAGTGGCCAGTTTCACCTGTTTTTAGTTGAGTTACTGTGGGTTATAAAAACAACATCTGCAGACTCTGCATCTGATACAAAGTCTTATGAAACTACTCCAACCGTCTTTAGTCCGTCCCCTGACCTCTAGAAGTCTCCTTAGATCTTCTGAAACTAGTCTTTGGATCCTTTCACAGAGTCTACTGACCATATTTTCCCCAAACCTCTGCATGGAGTCCAGAGACCACGTCAGCTGGTCCACAGAGCACTTTATTCTGATCACATGTTCAGTCCCAGTCATCAGTCTCCGGAAACCTGAAGCTATCTCAAGATGTGACCTCTCCTGATCCTGATGTGGAGGAACTAGCTCACATCGTGTTTACATCTGAGAATGTTTACAGTTTATAATTCACACTTAAACAGATACAGACCAGTTAGATAAAGATAACGAGTTCTGTCATGGTTGAGTGTTTTATTCGAACAGTTCTTCATCTGTTTAATTGGTTAAAGAACTTACTCTGGGTCATAAGAACGGCATCCATCTTTGAAGTCATTCCAAATATCTTTAGACCGATCACTCCTCATGGACACACATCTGGGTTCAGGAGACTTTCCTCTCTTCTGATGTGAACTGAAAGAAACACTGAGATTACATCATCACATCAACATCTAATCATGAAGCATCAGCTCGCATGGTGTCCGTCCTCACAGAGACCAAAACATGGTAAAGGTCCATGAAGTGATGTCTGGATGTGGACCACATGACTCCCTGTAGTGGTTATGGTCTACTGGTCCTGCTGGTCCCACTGAGAATAAACAGCTATAGGAGATGGTCCTCTCACCTCTGAGCTGTGGTCTGGCTGTCATGTTCCCCACACAGAGGGGCTTCAGAGGGAGGGACTCCCTCCTCTGGGTCCTCAGCCTGATTCATAGCAGAGTCCACACCTTCACAACAACCTGCTGGGAGAGCTCACACATTATTTATCTTCATCAGGACAAACACGCAGAGCTCATTCACCTCAATACTAAAACTCTCATGGGACACTTTCTGTGCTCTTGTCATTGGTTAAAGTTTAGACCTTCGTTGAACCCTGTTAACATGTCCAGAGACGCATTTTAAATGCTCACCCTGTAATGAGGGGTTGGTAGCTGAAGGACTGTAACTGTAGTTTGGGCACGTGTGACCACAGAGGTGCATCGATCACAATGCTGAGGCAGATGTGATTCCAATCTCCTTTGCGTTTCCTATGCATGTTATGGTGGTTGTGTAGTCTTTGTGTGTGTGCGCTTCACTGACTTCAGCAACGGGCAACAACGGCCGAGGAAAACAACTGTAAGTCGAAGTTCATAAATACTACAATATTTAAGTCACGGAATGTAATTGTAGTGGCCATTTGTCCTTGTTACCAACCAATCTTTACATCTCAAAGGGGCACTGCTGCACACAGTTTGTCTTCTTTCACGCAGTAAGAAAGCGAATTGTCCGGGCGATATTTTCTTTTATTTCACCTTTATTCCATAAAATCCACAACACATACATTAAAGGTTGTCTGCCTTCCTATGAAGTGCTCTCCCTCTGTCTCACTGGTAAAAGCTTTTCGTCACCCAGGTGCATGCTGGTCCCACCTGGCTACGCCCCTAAGTAACCTGCAGGTGCCCACAGCGTTACCCAGTTAGTGATCCAATTAGCCAAACAATTAAGCAAAGACTAAAACATACTCCGTGACAAAAATGCTTAAACCAAATTGACCACAAATACAGTGTTAAGATAGCTTTTTATGTATCGACCAAAGAAATGTATTTATCATAGACACATTTGTCCCATATTTTCCTCCACAACTTTGTTGAGTGACAGCGAGATCCTCCTTGTGGCAGTGGCAAGTGGGTGGCAACTTTGTGGCAGGCAGCGGCAATCGCCAGTAAATCAGTCGGCGTCACGACGGCACGCTGGGTGGGAGGAGCCAATTTTTCCCAGAAACAACTGTTATTTGTACGACAGGTCAGCTGCTGTAAATATTTAATTTTATTTAATTTTATTTGAGACACGTGAGCCCCCGTCTTCTTATTACAGAGGCTAATTTTAGGTTTGGACCGGCGGGTTCCGTGTAGGGGGTGGGGCTCTCAAGTTTGATGCCACCCACTTGCCACTGCCACAAGGAGGATCTCGGCCTTACTGACTTTGTTCCCCTCGACCGGTGATACACCCCTACTGGTTTTCCCATCTACTGGTTTCCCTACGCGTGCGTGTTTGTGTTCACTTCACAGCTGCAGATGTGTCCGCCTCAGTTCCCTGATTCGTCACACAATCACAAACATATTGCTGAAAATCTTCAAAACGCATCACAAATCCAGTGCAGCGTTTACGATTGTATAAGTGAGCACCACATCACGGCCACGTATGAAAACATTTACATAAAAAAATATATTAAAAGAAAGATCGGCACAACCTGGATTCGAACCCGGTGGATCAAAACATTAAAATGTCGATCAGGTGGCTGCTCTTAGCAGCGCGCCACAGAGACACAAAGCAATTACTTGACCCTTAGTATAATTTATTCATCTCGTTGACGTAGATCAGCATGGAGGAAACCTTCTGGTGGAGGGGATCTAAAACAACTGGTTACCTTGGGCGTGTCTTGGAACACATCCAAAGGAATGTATCAATTCTTAATTGTCACCCAATTAAAGTTAACAAGCAGCATCCCTATAAAAACGCCATGAGGTCGTACATACGATCTTTCCGAACAAGAGATGGACCCACAAAAGTGAAGGAATTGAGTGAAACAGATTGTACACTTGCAAAACTTCTATTAGGAATCAAATACCTTATAAAGCTCCCAAAAGGAAATTTTATTAAATAATTGTGTTTTAACAGTCACGATAAATAAATCATTGAAAAACAAAATAAAGTAGCTCTAAAGAAAGCATGCTGGACAGCAGAAGTCCTGCTCCAAAGGTGGTTTCCCAGTGCAAACTCAGTGGAACCACAGATGGATGTAACGGAACACACGCCCAAGGTAACCAGTTGTTTTAGACCCCCTCCACCAGAAGGTTTCCTCCATGTCAATGACGTTGCATTAATATATGAAGACCAACCCCTTCGCACTGCCCTGTGGCGCAGCGCACAGAGTGAGCAGCAGCGTGATGTATTTGCATTTTACTGCATGGGTTCGCAACTTGGTCGGTTCGATCTTTTAATATATTTTCTTAACTTTGGTTTGTTCGTGTCTGTGGTTTACGTCACGCGATGGCCGTAAGAAAACAATATCCTTTCTTTATCAAAATGTGTCGCTGCAAGGCTGCAGCCTCGTGAAGAAGTAGCGTTGCACATGTCCTGAAGTGTTCCAAGACACGCCCAAGATAACCAGTTGTTTTAGATCCACGACACCTAAAGGTTTCCTTCATGCTGATCTACGTCAACACGTGCTCACTTATACAATCGTAAACGCTGCACTGGATTTGTGATGCGTTTTGAAGATTTTCAGCAATATGTTTGTGAATGTGTGACGAATCAGGAAACTGAGGCGGACACATCTGCAGCTGTGAAGTGAACACAAACACGCACGCGTAGGGAAACCAGTAGGTGGAAAAACCAGTAGGGGTGTAACACCGGTTCTCACCCATCTCAAACCAACCCTCCCCCCCCACACTAAGACGTGCATTTAACGCCCTCACCTTGCCGCAGCGGGTCGGCAGTCGGTCTGTTTTCGACGCTCAGCATACGTGGCCGTTGACACACCGGGCCGGTGGGCTGCTGGTCGCACGGTCTCTGTGAAGGACTGCGGGGCGGACAGACAGGCAGCCGCGCTCGGTGGGTTGGGCCGGAGCGACGCGTCATCGTGACGTCACAGGGCCGGACGGCCAAGAAATCTTGGTGTTCCTACATTTTTTTTCAGTTGATTTCAGGTTTGATTTGGAAAGCGTATGAATGTAAAGCATTTCAAAGTGCTTTATTTTAAAAATGCACATTTTTTTATCGTGATGTAGGTTACAGGCTCGTCTATCACTGTTAACCAAAGACCTGGAGGTCCAAGATGTGTGTGGGTGTGGAAATGCTCTTAATGCAAAATACCGTTTGATTTATATTTTTGTGCATTAATATCAATGATTATTAAAACGACGCTGCGTGATGATCCCGTTTCAAAACAGAAAGAAGAACAAGTCGTGATGTTGTTTTTGCTGTTGGCCATTCAACCCACAGTATTTTGTTATTTTAATTCTCTTCTACCAGAAACTACCTGTATGCTCAATGGAACAGTTTTATATGCAGTCTGGGTTGTGCCAAACGTGTAATTTAATTTAAACATTTAAATAAAAAGAAAAAAAGAAATGGAAACTACATATATGTTACTAAAATGAATGATAGTAAATAAAGATATCAGATAAAGAGATTCTATTTCCAAATTAATTAATATTGCAGCTTTTACAGACTATCATTTTCTAGATTTAATATTAAAAATGTTTTGTTTTGAGTGTTGTGTTAACATTGACATTATAAATATATTTATTTACCATATATATTTTTTTAATTTGCGGACGGGGGACTTCCTGTTTATATCATCAGCTCCCATTGACCAGCAACTTGCTGCACTGGACAGTAAAAACATAAAATGCAGATGCTGAGCTTTTGGATAAAAGTAATATTGCAATCTTAATACAGTCAATAAAAAACATCAGAAAAATGTATTAACTTTTATGCACAGACCTTTTCATTCTTTCATGCATATACAAGCTAATTTAACTAACTCAAGATATTACAGCGTATGTCAAAGCTACAGTAACTGAATGCACAGTACGGTTCTGTTTCTGAATCCAGGTGTTCCTCAGAGCTCTGTGTCGGAGTACCTGAGTATTTATTCACTGTGACAAATAGCTTCAAAACAAAGAAACAGTGAAGCTGTGAACCAGTTCATCACTTTCATTTAAAACAAGTGTCTATGTGGGAGCCGTCCTAAAAAACGGATTAGCTATCTATTTCACCTTTGTTTTGATTATTTAAACACTGAAATCCAGCACACGTTTCCCTTTTCTCACATTCATTTATTCATCTAATTTCTTCTTAAATTGCTTAAAACTTTTTCCTTTTATCTTAGTTTAGTAATTGTGTATTTTAGTAAATTTCTTAGTCGATCATCTTAGTTTTGATCTGTTAAAACAAAATTCGCAGATTAATCTGTAAATTATTATATTGGAAGTTCACATCAAATTCTGAAATATCGTCAGATGTCCTCCTCCTGAAACCAACCTTTGCAGATGAATTCAACACACAAACTGCTCTCTATTCATAGAGAGACTACATTCCCTTCGAATCTTTGTTTTTTTTAAACTATCATCCAACTTTACTTTAAATAACCATCCATCTAAAGTTCACATGGAGGATTTTGACGGAGATGCTGGATCATATTTATTTCATATAGTGAGGATACAAAATAAATCAGTGAAACAGTTTACAACCAATGATCATGTTTGACAAGGGAAAAAATAATCTTTGTAAAGTGCACATTAGAGTTGCTCCGGCTAAATAACTAGTATTTAAGCCGGAGCAACTTCAAATAGAGTCAAAGAGAGAAAAGAGGAACAACAAGTGAGAGTATTTGTTTATGTTCATTAGTAGTAGTAGTTTTCTTTATTATATTCAGACTGCGATAAATGTTTGGAAATTAATCCTATTTGCTGGTTTTATCATATACATGAATTTCTCTGTTAGAGCGCCCTCTGCTGGCCAGGACCAGTTCCTGCACAACAATGACGTACTTATAGTTTAGAGAACATGTTATAAAATATCATATCCTGATTAGGACCCGATATCTAAATGATGATCTATTGATTCACCCACAGAGGCAACGAGCACAACAACATTAAAACACACCTCGCTGAGCACTTTCAGACTCCAGTCCAGTCCAGACCAGCTCAGGTACTACTCACCTGCTCCACCTGCATCTACATCCACGTGAACCTACATCAGCTGCGTGACGTCCTGTACAGACTGAACTATGTGGTGAGCAGAGAGGAAGGTTCTCCACCAGGAGGAGACTCTCCGTCCTCCAGAGAACACAGAGACACTGAGGAACCAGGACTGGGCCAGAACCCAAACCCAGGATAAAGAGGTTCAGTGGATGTGGTGCTGAAGGTGTGGAGGTGGATCAGTGTGTCAGAGGAGACTCTGTAGAAGGACAGAGAGCCAGCAGGACAGTCCACATACACTGCTACTCTACCAGAGGAGGAGGAGGAGGTGATGCGTGTTACTGTCTTATTGTGACCGACATAGTAACCTTTATCAGAGCATCCCAGACTCCAGGACTGATCGTTCCACCCAAACCAACAGTCTGTACTGTTTCCTCCTGATTCCTCTGTAACTCACTGATACATAAACTCTTCCTCTCCACTCGACCTCCCAGTAACAGCGACCAGTCAGACCAGTTCTACACAGCAGCTGAGGCCAGTGGTCAAATCTGTCTGGATGATCAGGATATGACTGATCCTCCTCTTTCACATGTGTGACCTTCCTGTTGTTGTCAGACAGTTTGAGTCTTCTGTTTACTGTGTTTGTGTCGATTGTGAGTTCACAGGAATCTGATGAGAGAACAAGACACAATACAGCTGCAGTTATTAATCATGTGATCATCTACTGACACCTTGATGATGACATCACAGAGGTGAATGAGTGATGTCACAGTGTGAAGATGGTTGAATCTTGATGAATCAAAGCACACTTACACTTCCTCAGACCTGGTCTCAACCATCGGACTCCAGCAGGCTCCACCCTGAAAGGAGGAGGGGGGTCAGAGCAGCATGGAGACATGGACATTACATCACTCTCATACACACAGCTTTGTCCTTCATGTCCACATGGAGCACCTCTTCTTGCTACTGCAGTGGAGCTTCTTCTGATTGGTCTGATGACCACAGCTCATGATATTCATTATTCATCATCTGTTCTTATCAGTATTATACTGACCATCATCTTCCATTTCACACTCAGTTTCCTTCAGCAGTCAGTGAATCAAATGTTTAAACCTGCATCAAGTGATTTCTTTGTCCACTTGTGGTTCAGTGAAAACAAGCTGTAAACACAACATGTGACATGTGATCATCTTCTAAAGTAACATGATGTCAACCAGCTGCTTCCACATCAACATGATGGTTCAAGGAGTCTTGTGTCACCTGATGGATGGAAGTCCACTATTTGCTCTCTTTTAGCTCTGCTTTTGGTCTCCACCACCTCCTGGGGGGAATATCTGTGTCTTCAGCTGCTAAATGCTCCTCTATGTTCCCCAGCTGGTCTCTCAGTTTGTCTGCTGTTTGCTGCTCAGCAGGTAGTGAACTGTGGCTTCATCACAGCCTGTTGGATGAAAATAGCAGCTGCTGGAAACACTGAAACTGAACCAAACAGGAAATGAGCTGCACAACCAAAACTAGGAGCTAAAGTAGGCTAACCAGCTGAGTAGAGCTACAGAGATGGACTATTGTCAGTGGGTTCATCTCCACCACACAGTCAGCTGATCCGTGGTCAGTAGAAATAATGACTGTTGGATGTTTTGGTCCTGACAAGCGACCTCTTGTGTTTGTGTAATAATGACTGTTGTCTCTCTGAAGTAAAGGAGAAAGTAGCATGAAATCACTACAGCGCCACAAACCCTCTGATGGAGGAGGTCGGGGTGGTTGGAGGTACAAAGGGTCTGACTGTAACACTGCTGTTCACATCCCGTCTCCTAGCACCAGTAAACACTGGTTTCTATCACCTATAGTCTGGAGGTGAAGATGTTACAGCTCAGGTGGGTCTGCAGCCACAGATCACTGCCCGAGTCCCCTTACAGCTTTGGTCCAGTCCTAAACAAACCTGGGCTCTTACACACCAGGTCCACAATCAGCTGTTGGTTCGAGCATCTAAACATCCAAGTGTTGTTTGATAAGAGCCCACAAACCTGCAGCATGACGACGTTGACTCATATCAACCCACCATGATGCCGTCAACGTGTCAGGAGACACCACTGTCCTCTCTTATAACGAGGAAACAAGACGAGGGTCCAGAGAAACAAGCCTTTCATCACCTTCCTCCCTGTTTAGGTTCATCCTGGCTACTGTTCCTCACTACTTCTGTCTGTATTGATGGTCTCATGTGGGACACAAACAGTTTGATGAGTCTCTGGTAGTTTGAGGTCAGCTTGGTGTGTCAGGGTCATATTAACCAGGCTGACAGTGGGACAGAGAAAAGGTTTCCAGCTCTGCCTCCTCTACCAGACTGATGGTCTGTGGCTGCAGCCTCTTCATACCTGAGAGTCTCCAGTCTCCAGTGAGGATCCTCCAGTCCAGCAGACAGCAGCTTCACTCCTGAGTCTCCTGGATGATTGTAGCACAGGTCCAGCTCTCTCAGATGGGAGGGGTTGGAGCTCAGAGCTGAGGCCAGAGAAGCACATCCTTCCTCTGTGATCAGACAGCCTGACAGCCTGCAGACACACAAAACAACACACATGAGGGATCTGTAAAGGCTGGAAGGTCACTGCAGTACTGAGATGTCAGCTCCTGAGGGGGTCACATTAATATTCTAACACTTACTGACAGTCGCAACCAAACACCCACTAATGTACATCAACAATCCGATACAACACGTTAAGGAGAATATTTGCAAAATACATATTTGATGTAAGCAGAAAGAATATTATGAAAGTCAGAAATGTATCATTGATGTAAAAAAAGAAACCAAGTGATCATTAATTGAATCCCGACCTGAGAGTCTCCAGGTCACAGTGTGGACTCTTCAGTCCAGCAGACAAAAGCTTCACTCCTGAAACCTGCAGGTGGTTGTTACTCAGATCCAGCTCTCTCAGACTAGAGGACTGGGAGCTGAGAACTGAGGACAGAGCTCCACAGCTTCTCTCTGAGAGGTTACAGCCACTCAGTCTGAGGAGACAACAATCAATAAGAATTTAAACATTTAAGTTAAAATGACATCCTCCTTGATAAGGAGTTTTAACTGAAATAAAACTAGTAAGAGCAAAACAAATGTGTTCAGTTACTGTCTACATTTTTTTGTGTTCTACTTTAAACAAGAGGAAAACATCAGTTAAATGTGCTTTACTGTTTACAGGAAATATTATAATATCACTATTGGGATGAGGCAGGGGTATTTTATCTTATTTATACGTAAATTCAAAGTTAGGCTTCTCTATCCTCTATCTGACTTTTTAAAGAAATATAAGAGACAGAAAAAAAGTGAGTTTAAATGAGAAATTAATCATCTTCTCATTTCATGGTTTTAAAGTTCTGAATTAGAAATAAACATCCATCAAACTCTCAGCAGATTGTCACTGTAGAGACACACATTAAAGTCTTCAGTCTCTTTCCCACCTCTGATTTTCTCCTTTTCATTAATTATTTATATAAAACCGCATCGCTGACGTTAGTTGTCTGGTACCATAGTTCTCGTTTATTTCTTGTTGAAAAAAATGTTCATGAAATTTGTAATCTATGAAACAAATTCATATATTGAGATCCTTTTTACACTGTATGGATCTGATAGTTTAGAGACACATTTAAATCATTGCAGATAAACTGACTTAATCTGACCTGAGAGTCTCCAGGTCACAGTGTGGACTCTCCAGTCCAGCAGACAACAGCTTCACTCCTGAATCCTGAAGGTGGTTGTTACTCAGATCCAGCTCTCAGACTAGAGGACTGGGAGCTGAGAACTGAGGACAGAGCTCCACAGCTTCTCTGAGAGGTTACAGCCACTCAGTCTGAAGAGACAATGATGAAGGAAATATGAACCATACATTTAAACAATGGCAACATATTCAAGTCCTGATATATGAATCTGACTCTCTGTACTTACAGAGCTTTGTTGGAGGCTTTGACCACTGGCAGCAGCCTCAGAAGAGCCTCCTCTGAAGCAGAGTATTTCTTCAGGTCAAACACCTCCAGATCTTCTTCTGATGACAGTAAGATGAAGACCAGAGCTGACCACTGAGCAGGAGACAGTTTATCTGAGGAGACACGTCCTGAACTAAGGGACTGTTGGATCTCCTCCGCTAGAGAACAATCATTCAGTTCATTCAGACAGTGGAACAGGTTGATGCTTTTCTCTGGAGACACATTCTCACTGATCTTCTCCTTGATGTACTGGACTGTTCTCTGATTGGTCTGTGAGCGACTTCCTGTCTGTGTCAGCAGACCTCGTAGGAGAGTCTGATTGGTCTCCAGGGAAAGACCCAGGAGGAAGCGGAGGAACAAGTCCAGGTGTCCATTAGGACTCAGTAAGGCCTTGTCCACAGCACTCTGGTAGAGAAACATTGGTTGAGTTTGGTCTCCAAAGACTTTAGACAACATGGAGGTTGTTGGTTCTTCGGACATCAGATTGACACCAGAGCTGAAGAAAGTCAGATGGACATGAAGAGCAGCCAGAAACTCCTGAACACTCAGATGGACGAAGCAGAACACCTTGTCCTGGTACAGTCCTCTCTCCTCTCTAAAGATTTGAGTGAACACTCCTGAGTACACTGAGGCTGCTCTGATATCGATGCCACACTCTGTCAGGTCGGATTCATAGAAGATCAGGTGGCCTTTCTGCAGCTGATCGAAGGCCAGTTTTCCCAGAGACTCCATCATCTTCCTGCTCTCTGGACTCCAGTGTGGATCCGTCTCAGCTCCTCCATCGTACTTGACCTTCTTCACTTTGGACTGAACCACCAGGAAGTGGATGTAAATCTCAGTCAGGATCTTGGGCAGCTCTCCTCCCTCGCTGGTCTTCAACACCTCCTCCAGAACGGAAGCAGTGATCCAGCAGAAGACGGGGATGTGGCACATGATGTGGAGGCTTTGTGAGGTCTTGATGTGAGAGATGATCCTGCTTGCCTGCTCCTCATCTCTGAACCTCTTCATGAAGTACTCCTCCTTCTGGGGGTCAGTGTACCCTCTGACCTCTGTGACCATGCCAACACACTCAGGAGGGATCCGATTGGCTGCTGCAGCCCGTGTTGTTATCCAGAGGCGAGCAGAGGGAAGCAGCTTCCCCCTGATGAGGTTTGTGAGGAGCACATCCACTGAGGCCGACTCTGTGACATCAGTCAGGATCTCATTGTTGTGGAAGTCCAGAGGAAGTCGACACTCATCCAGACCGTCAAAGATGAACACAACCTGGAACTCTTCAAACCTGCAGATTTCTGCTGCTTTGGTTTCACTGAAGAAGTGATGAACAAGTCCCACCATGCTGTACTTCTTCTCGCTCAGCACATTCAGCTCTCTGAAGGTGAATGGAAATGTTAACTGTATGTCCTGGTGGTGTTTGTCTTCAGTCCAGTCCAGAGTGAACTTCTGTGTTAAGACTGTTTTCCCAATGCCAGCCACTCCCTTAGTCATCACTGTTCTGATTGGTTCCTCTCCTCCAGCTGAGGATTTGAAGAGGTCTTCTTGTCTGATGGTTGTTTCTGGTCTGGCTGGTCTTCTGGATGCTGTTTCAATCTGTCTGACCTCATGTTCTTGATTGACCTCTGCGGTCCCTCCCTCTGTGATGTAGAGCTCTGTGTAGATCTCATTCAGAAGGGTTGGGTTTCCTGCTTTAGCGATCCCCTCAAACACACACTGGAACTTCTTCTTCAGGTTGGATTTGAGTTCACGCTGACAAACTGCAGCAAGAATTCCTGAATGAAAACAATAAAGAAGATCAATGAGTTAAAGAATATATTTAAACATGTCCTTTCCTCAAAGAATGGTTCTGAATATATTCTGTCCACCTTTGAGAAATACGTGAAGGTCTCATTTATCAACATGGTAAGTCTTTAGAGAAATTCTTCTTACTGCTCTGCAGATGGTGAGCCAGCTCCTCCTGCTTCATTCTCCTCAGGAAGTGCACTGAGATCTTCACAAATGCCTCTCTGCTCCTCCTCTGCTCTTCATCCAGCACCTCCTCATCCTCCCTCTGACTCTCTAAGCATTCTGGGTAATCTGAACTCACAACCTGCTGGATCTTCTTCAGCTCCTTCTTCACAAAAGTGAGGATGTTCTCCTCCAGCAGCTGGAACAGAATATTCTATGAATGACACAAACTAAAACCATGGAAGCCACCATCAGGTCCATGTTGGACAGACTGACAATCCACTGGTCTACAAAGTGCAGCATGGAGATGATGGTGAACTGAGAGATGTAAAAGTAGTTGTACATGTACACACCATGAAGATGAAGTCCAGGTGTGTTTCATGCTGCTGGGCAGACGGACCTGTGGGAACCTCTGAGCTCTCCTGGTCCTCTCTGTGGAGGAACATGAACCATCAGCTCACATGGTGTTTGTACCATCAACACAAATACAACAGAGAGTTAAAGATATTGGCTTCTGTCATGACTGATCATCATGAAAACCAGATGCTGAAGACGGACAGTTGATGATGGACGGACAGTTTATTAGTTGAGTGACAGTTAGTCATCAGTTTCATCTGTTTTTAGTTCTTACTCTGGGTCATAAGAACGGCGTCCATATTTGAAGTCAATCCCAAGATCTTTAGACCAATGACTCTTCATGGACACACATCTGGGTTCAGGAGACTTTCCTCTCTGCTGATGTGAACTGAAAGAAACACTGAGATTACATCATCACATCATCATCTAATCATTAAGCATCAGCTCACATGGTGTTTGTACCATCAACACCAATACAACAGAGAGTGAAAGATATTGGCTTCTGTCATGATTGATCATCATGAAAACCAGATGCTGAAGACTGTCGATGATGGGTTGACAGTTTATTAGATGTGTGACAGCCATCAGTTTCACCTGTTTTTAGGTTCTTACTGTGGGTCATAAAAACAACGTCTGCAGACTCTGCATCTGATACAAACTCTTATGAAACTACTCCAACCCTCTTTAGTTTGTCCCCTGACCTCTAGAAGTCTCCTTAGATCTTCTGAAACCAGTCTTTGGACCTTCTCCCAGAGTCTACTGACCATACTTTCTAATCACATGTTCAGTCCCAGTCATCTGTCTCCAGAAACCTGAAGCTTTCTCAAGATGTGACCTCTCCTGATCCTGATGTGGAGGAACTAGCTCACATTGTGTTTACATCTGAGGATTTTTACAGTCAGTGATTCACACTTAAACACATACATACCAGTTAGATAAAGATAACGACTTCTGCAATGATTGATCATCATGGAAACACTTTTAAACAATGCACGACCAATTTTGCAATTAATAACTAAGAAAGAGAGTAAGTCCTCATCTGCTTAAGAACTTACTGTGGGTCATAAGAATGGCGTCCATCTTTGAAGTCAATCCCAAGATCTTTAGACCGATCACTCTTCATGGACACACAGCTGGGTTCAGGAGAATTTCCCCTCTGCTGATGTGAACTGAAAGAAACACTGAGATTACATCATCTAATCATGAAGCATCACCTCACACACCGAGAACCTTCACCAGAGAGTCTGATAGAAACACCTCATCATCAGCCTGAGACCCTCACCTTGTATCAACAGAGGGTACCGTGTATCGTGTACGCTTCATGTTCACAGAGCTGGGTCCAGGTCCTGGTCTCTTACGGGTCCTGGTGACACATGTAGAACCAGAGTGAGTGAATCAAAGACGTTGGGACATGGATAACAGTGGGGGACAGTTGGAGATGGTCCTCTCACCTCTGAGCTTTGGTTTGGCTGTCATGTTCCCCACACAGAGGGGCTTCAGAGGGAGGGACTCCCTCCTCTGGGTCCTCACCCTGATTCATAGCAGAGTCCACACCTTCACAACAACCTGCTGGGAGAGCTCACACATTATTTATCTTCATCAGGACAAACACACAGAGCTCATTCACCTCAATACTAAAACTCTCATAGGACACCTTCCGTGCTCTTGTCATCAGTTAAAGTTTATACCTTCGTGGAACCCTTTTTAAAAAAAATGCTCACCCTGTAATGGGGGGTTGAAAGCTGAAGGACTGTAACTGTAGTTTGGGCACATGTGACCACAGTGGTGCATCGATCACAATGCTGAGGCAGATGTGATTCCAATCTCCTTTGCGTTTCCTATGCATGTTATGGTGGTTGTGTAGTCATTGTGTGTGTGCGCTTCACTGACTTCAGCAACGGGCAACAACGGCCGAGGAAAACAACTGTAAGTCGAAGTTTATAAATACTACTATATTTAAGTCACGGAATGTAATTGTAGTGGCCATTTGTCCTTGTTACCAACCAATCTTTACATCTCAAAGGGCCACTGCTGCACACAGTTTGTCTTCTTTCACGCAGTAAGAAAGCGAATTGTCCGGGCGATATTTTCTTTTGTTTCACCTTTATTCCATAAAATCCACAACACATACATTAAAGGTTGTCTGCCTTCCTATAAAGTGCTCTCCCTCTGTCTCACTGGTAAAAGCTTTTTGTCACCCAGGTGCATGCTGGTCCCACCTGGCTACGCCCCTAAGTAACCTCCAGGTGCCCACAGCATTGCCCAGGTAGTGATCCAATTAGCCAAACAATTAAGCAAAAACTAAAACATACTCAGTGACAAAAAATGCTTAAACCAAATTGACCACAAATACAGTGTTAAGATAGCTTTTTATGTATCGACCAAAGAAATTTATTTATCATAGACTTTTTTGCGGACACATTTGTCCCGTATTTTCCTCCACAACTTTGTTCCCCTCAACCGGCAAACCGACGTTTGCGCAGATCTCACTCCGTGAATCTCTAATATATATATATATATATATATATATATATATATATATATATATATATATATATTTGTGTGTATGTATATATATATATTTGTGTGTATGTATATATATATATACACACACATATACATATATTATTTGTATATATATACATATAAAATAATAATATATGAATATATATATGAATATATATTTTTTTTTATGACGCATTTACGAACGGACGAACGTTTTCATTTCCGGTACAATGCGTACGCGGAAATGAAAGCTGCAAACTTCGAGAAACACAGACCTCGATTGTTTACGTCTGTTGGGCTCCATCAAAGAACCCGAGTTGATGTTTGGAATCCACATTTTTTCTTGTTTTTTTATATTTGAACAACGAAAACGGCCATTTCCGTTTTAGGTTTGAAACTAAAAAAGACGAACAAACGACGGGTTTATTCCGTGTTTTATTTCGATCTGTTGTTTAAACGGTAAGAAGAACGTTAAAAAGGTTCACGGACCGTTAACACGCAAACACACACCAAAGAACACAGAGTATCACGGAAAATACTCACAGGCCTCTGAACACAGTGAAGTTCTGTTGACTTTCATCCGACGCCCCACACTTCTTCTTCGGGTCTGGACGGCGGGTCGCAGAACAACGTGTCAGGTGCACATCGCCCCCTACTGACGAGTGTGCAGATTCAGGCTCCACACCTCCGTGCGCAGGAACCAGCACATCTGAACGCAACACCCGGCCTTCGGAGCCATTACAATCATAATATATGAATCTTCCATCAATCATTTCCTCGATGTTTTTGCAAATATTCGATGTTAAAGTATCGATATGTAGTTCCCTTGGTTCGTATAACCTCCTTGCAGGAGGCTGAGGTCCATCAGGACTAAGACCTCCCGCCACACCAACAGTTTCTTCCCGTCGGCAGTCGGGCTCATCAACAGAGCCGGTCCCCCACTGACTGACTCTGACGTCCCACCGGTCACTTTCTTTCATTCTGCACACGTCACTTTACTGTCATTTTGGTGCACTTTTATTTTTTTTAAATATTTTTAACTTAAACTTTTATTCCTTTATTTTTAAACTAACCCATAGCCTTATACTTTATTTTATTCCTTGTGCAGTTGTCTTGTCGTTGTACTGTCTGCTGTCACGCACGCGCGGTTTAGACCCTTTCGCTCTCTGGGCCCAACACCTGACGTCAATTACATACAGTAGGTGTGCACAGCGCCACCCAGTGTACAGAATAAAATAAAGACATGTGAACATTCTGCTCCTCTATTCTGCTCCTACTCTTCACTAATATTATCTGAACTGTGTATTTCAACAAAGGTTTTATCCAACATGTCTGCTTTCTCTTCGCCCGTCACTGCTGTTGGCCCTTACGGCTGCACACTACTGGGTGGATTAAAAAATGTGAAAAACATGGGTTAAAAATGAAATGTAAGTCGCTTAAGAGAGTTTGGGCACCCAAACTCTTTAATCACATTCATTATTTTCATAATTTTCCATATGAGTTAGGGTTTTATTAAGTTCCTACAATGTTACTTTGTTGTATTTTTTAATTTTGTATTTAGATAGATATGCTTCACCTCTGGAGCATATTTCAGACTGAGAGAAGAACATTTTACGCTCATTTTAAATTAAAATCGGTTAAGTTGTGAACTTTTGGCTAAAAGTAATATTGCAATCTTGAGGAAGTCGATCCATACTGTCAATAAAAACCACAGCAGCAAACATGTTTATTAACTTATTCCTTTTATTTTTTTTCTTGCATATACAACCAAATTTAACTAACGAGATATTACAGAATATGTCCACGCTACAGAAGCTGAATGTCACCACGTACATCGTTCTCTTTAGGCCTGATGCTGCTTCCTAAAACTCAACCCAAGTGTGTAACTAAATGCACATGGTGGTGTGGTGGTTCGCACTATCGCCCCACGGCAAGAAGGTCCTGGGTTCGACGCCCGGTGGCCTTTCTGTGTGGAGTCTGCATGTTCTCCCCACTTGTTTGTGTGGGTTCTCTCTGAGTACTCCGGTATTCCTCCCACAGTACAAAGACATGCACTGGGGATCAGGTTGATTGGTGACTCTAAATTGTGTGTGAGTGTGAAAGGTTGTATTTGGCCCAATTTGCGACTGATCTTGCCGGAAGTTGGCTGGGATTGATTCCAGGCGACCCTGTGTGGAGGATAAGTGGTTTGAAGATGGATGAATCAGACGTATCGTCCACCCCCCCCCCCCTGGAGGGCTGATGGAACGGGACCGCCGAGTCGCTGTCAAAGTGCCTCATGTTGATGAATGATGAGCAGATTCATCAAAGTAACCCTACTGGAGGAATGCAGACCTGCTGGGGATTGTGGGTAATACTTGGGTTCCATTAAATAAATTATTATTATTATAATTAAAGTTCAAGTTCTGAAATGTCATGTTCAAATATGCAAATTATCTCATGGTAACTTTGGGTGAATTTAAGAGAAATCTTGAGAAAACACAAAGTAGTAAAATAAAAACGTGTTATGGGAAAAAAATAGATTGTTGATTGTAAATGAAAAGCTTAATTTTGGTGAAACTGCTTTAAATAAATGCAGCTTCACATTATTGTCCTTTTTTAATATTCTGGGCTTCTTTCTCACTGATGTCACACTTATGTTTAATGTTTATTCTGTGTCTGTTTAGATTCACTTTCACAGAGTTACCACTGAAGAAAAGAGTTTTTGACACAAGGCAACGATCAAATATGTTGGGGGGGCATTAAAGTATCAGAGGGAGAAAAGGGAGTGTCGTATCACATTAACACAGGGGTGACCGACCTTTTTTGAACCAAGATCTACTTTTATAGTTGATAGTGTATCGAGATCTACCAAGCCATCGAAAGCCGTAGCGTAGCCACAATTTATTGCGCACCTATATAGGACACTGTTTTCTGACACATAGATACAGTTTTAACAATCATAATATACATTTATTGAAGTAAATGTGAATTTGCAAAGAATAAGCACAAGTAGGCCTAGGACTGGCCCGTAACAACGCGACAGACAAACAACCCAAATAATACAATGCCTAATTCATTGAACTTTTATAAGAACTAATTAAAGTTGGAAAAGTGGCATTTCTCTACCTTTTCTGGCACTGAGAGGAGGAAGCGAGTCTCTCATAGTCCGGACAGTAAGAGCTGAGTGGCAGCCGTAAGCAGACTGCAAGGTGGTCATCAGTCATGGTGGATCTGTATTTTGACTTGATGGTTTTCATATGTGAAAAGGACTCACACAAATATGTTGATCCAAAAAGTGCAGTCAAATTCTCTGCAGTTTGTCTGAGGTTGGGGTACTTCTCTTTCTGCATTAGATTCCAGAATCGGACATTCATGTCAGGTGTTGCTCTGGATTTGAGCTCAATGTCATTCTTCAGTGTGAGGATCTCATTCAGGTTGAAGAGTGATGCCACTTTGGACGTTATACAATCCACATCTACATCCACATTTTCCCCAAATGTAAAACAGAGATAGCTGACAACAGGCTCAATGGATGCAAAGTCAGTGAAGCGCCTGTTAAATTCTGACAAGACGCTCTGCACTTGCTCATCATAACGTGCATCCTCAAGCTCGCCCCAGTCTTTGCCCACAGCCTGGGCTGCCAACTCTCACGCATCGGCCGTGAGACTCACGCATTTCATCGGTTTCACACGCTCTCACGCCACACCTTCACCTTCGACCACGCCAAAAAAAATTGGGAGACTACCATTGAAAAGGAGGGGCGGCAGAACACAACAGTAATGTAAGGTTCTCTTTCCTGCCCATGGACACGTTTACAACGCGCTCGGTATCGCGCTGCTTTCCTGTTTCTAAATAAATCTATTAAAATCAAGTTGATGTCTCGAGTTCCATTATCGAGAGTCGCTACAGTAGCGCGTTAGGCTGCGCTGGTAGGCGCATTGCATTATGGGACAATCTTTGGATCCATTTAAATCTCTTATCTGTTATGTTCATGTTCTAGTGTTTAAGTTTATGTGTGTTTTTCTAGGTTCTGTTGTGTTGTGCTCAAATGTTACTGTTTAATGTGTAAGAGTGTGGGCACCACGACCCAACTTAGTATGGCTGTGGGTCAAGTTCTGTGTTCAACACCTTAACAAAGCGTCCTGGGGTCAAAATTTCTCGCGATTGACTGCAGCTCATCCCGCGATCGACTGGTTCGGCACGACTGATTTACACGAAGTACAGTAACAGGAAGTTTACATGAAGACGTCCTCTGGACTGCCCTGGTTGCGCACAACTGCAGTAGACTAACTTTATACAGCAACGAGTATGATGTATGTTTGTCCACACAAAAGTCACACACCACCATCGCGATTATTGGTGACTTTCGGGGCCCGAGTTGGGCCACTTTTCACATTACAGCAGGGCTATTGAGGCCACACTACTGCATTTGAGCACAAGGAAAACATCGACTCAGGTAAGTTTTGATGATATTACTGGGGTAAATATATTATTGATAAGACAAACCAGCTGCTAGTCATTAACAAACTGACAGCTCATCGTTGGAGAAAAGCTCAATGCATCAAATTTGGGAGATGGACTACTGTACAGTGGAGGCTGTGTTCGAAAACGCTTAACAGTAAGATAGCTGTTTAACTACCTTGATGTCTCATCAGGACCGGTGTCTGACTCGAGATATTTTTACGAGTGAAGGTATCTGAAAAAAACGTTGTTTTCGAACAAGATAGAAAAAAGATTTCTTTTAAGATAGTTGATAACGTGTGCCGTTGGTGCGCTGATATAATGTTAGGCTATCTAACGTAGGCTAACGTGCTAATGTTGGCTGATCAACCATTATGGCTGGTTACAATAATAATGTTATTAGATAGAACCGTCTATTTCTCTAAATGCAGAAAGATGTACATTTAATACAAAAATGACTGTCAAGAGGATGATTGCATGGTATCTTCTAAAAGCGGAAAAACACAAACTTGTTGGGGGGTGGTGATCATAGGGAATACACATTCCCTAAGAAACCCAGAACTTCCACCAGAGAGTCTCATAGAAAAACCCCATCATCAACCCGAGACCCTCCTTGAAGTTCATGGGAAAATTTTTAGACCGGTTACTCTTCATGGACACACAGCTGGGTTCAGGACCAGGTCCAGGATCAGGTTCATATCCAGATGCGGGTCCAGGTCCTGGTCTCTGATGGGTCCTGGTGACACATGTAGAACCAGAGTGAGTGAATCAAAGACGTTGGGACATGGGGAAGAGTGGAGGACAGTTGGAGATGGTCCTCTCACCTCTGAGCTGTGGTCTCGCTGTCATGTTCCCCACACAGAGGGGCTTCAGAGGGAGGGACTCCCTCCTCTGGGTCCTCACCCTGATCCATAGCAGAGTCCACACCTTCACACCAACCTGCTGGGAGAGCTCACACATTATTTACCTTCATCAGGACAAACACACAGAGCTCATTCACCTCAATACTAAAACTCTCATGGGACACTTTCTGTGCTCTTGTCATCGGTTAAAGTTTAGACCTTCGTTGAACCCTGTTAACATGTCTAGAGACGCATTTTAAATGCTCACCCTGTAATGAGGGGTTGGTAGCTGAAGGACTGTAACTGTAGTTTGGGCACGTGTGACCACAGAGGTGCATCGATCACAATGCTGAGGCAGATGTGATTCCAATCTCCTTTGCGTTTCCTATGCATGTTATGGTGGTTGTGTAGTCATTGTGTGTGTGCGCTTCACTGACTTCAGCAACGGGCAACAACGGCCGAGGAAAACAACTGTAAGTTGAAGTTCATAAATACTACTATATTTAAGTCACGGAATGTAATTGTAGTGGCCATTTGTCCTTGTTACCAACCAATCTTTACATCTCAAAGGGCCACTGCTGCACACAGTTTGTCTTCTTTCACGCAGTAAGAAAGCGAATTGTCCGGGCGATATTTTCTTTTGTTTCACCTTTATTCCATAAAATCCACAACACATACATTAAAGGTTGTCTGCCTTCCTACGAAGTGCTCTCCCTCTGTCTCACTGGTAAAAGCTTTTTGTCACCCAGGTGCATGCTGGTCCCACCTGGCTACGCCCCTAAGTAACCTCCAGGTGCCCACAGCGTTACCCAGTTAAAAATGCTTAAACCAAATTGACCACAAATACAGTGTTAAGATAGCTTTTTATGTATCGACCAAAGAAATTTATTTATCATAGACTTTTTTGCGGACACATTTGTCCCGTATTTTCCTCCACAACTTTGTTCCCCTCGACCGGCAAACCGACGTTTGCGCAGATCTCACTCCGTGAATCGCTAATTATATATATATATATATATAATATTTAAATATTTAAAAAATATATATATATATATATATATATATATATATATATATATATATATATATATATATATTATATATACACACACATATATTATTTGTATATATGTACATATAAAATAATAATATATGAATATATATATATGAATATATTTTATTTTTATGACGCATTTACGAACGGACGAACGTTTTCATTTCCGGTACGCTGCGTACGCGGAAATGAAAGCTGCAAACTTCGAGAAACACAGACCTCGATTGTTTACGTCTGTTGGGCTCCATCAAAGAACCCGAGTTGATGTTTGGAATCCACATTTTTTCTTGTTTTTTTATATTTGAACAACGAAAACGGCCATTTCCGTTTTAGGTTTGAAACTAAAAAAGACGAACAAACGACGGGTTTATTCCGTGTTTTATTTCGATCTGTTGTTTAAACGGTAAGAAGAACGTTAAAAAGGTTCACGGACCGTTAACACGCAAACACACACCAAAGAACACAGAGTATCACGGGAAATACTCACAGACCTCTGAACACAGTGAAGTTCTGTTGACTTTCATCCGACGCCCCACACGTCTTCTTCGGGTCTGGACGGCGGGTCGCAGAACAACGTGTCAGGTGCACATCGCCCCCTACTGACGAGTGTGCAGATTCAGGCTCCACACCTCCGTGCGCAGGAACCAGCACATCTGAACGCAACACCCGGTCTTCGGAGCCATTACAATCATAATACATGAATCTTCCATCAATCATTTCCTCGATGTTTTTGCAAATATTCGATGTTAAAGTATCGATATGTAGTTCCCTTGGTTCGTATAACCTCCTTGCAGGAGGCTGAGGTCCATCAGGACTAAGACCTCCCGCCACACCAACAGTTTCTTCCCGTCGGCAGTCGGGCTCATCAACAGAGCCGGTCCCCCACTGACTGACTCTGACGTCCCACCGGTCACTTTCTTTCATTCTGCACACGTCACTTTACTGTCATTTTGGTGCACTTTTATTTTTTTAAAATATTTTTAACTTAAACTTTTATTCCTTTATTTTTAAACTAACCCATAGCCTTATACTTTATTTTATTCCTTGTGCAGTTGTCTTGTCGTTGTACTGTCTGCTGTCACGCACCAAATTCCTTGTATCGCTGACATATTATGGCAATAAATGTTTCCTGGTTCCTGATTCCTGATGACCTTTGACCCTCTATTAAAGGAGCCCGGCCCTTTTACCTGGGCTTCTGTGGTGCTGGACTCCCCCCGGATCGGTCTGTATGGCGCGCTGCTCCAGCAGCCCTAATCGCCCCGGCGTTCATCCTGGTTGGCGGACCCGTTCTGAGAGCGGTTCATCTTGGTTTATGTGTTACATATAATGCCTTGTTGCCAGTGGAACCAACTCCTTCTTGCCGACAGCGGTTAAAACCCTTTCGCTCTCCAGGCCCAACACCTGATGTCAATTACATACAGTAGGTGTGCACAGCGCCACCCAGTGTACAGAATAAAATAAAGACATGTGAACATTCTACTCCTCTATTCTGCTCCTACTCCTCACTAATATTATCTGAACTGTGTATTTCAACAAAGGTTTTATCCAACATGTCTGCTTTCTCTTCCCCCGTCACTGCTGTTGGCCCTTACGGCTGCACACTACTGGGTGGATTAAAAAATGTGAAAAACATGGGTTAAAAATGAAATGTAAGTCGCTTAGGAGAGTTTGGGCGCCCAAACTCTTTAATCACATTCATTATTTTCATAATTTTCCTAATGAGTTAGGGTTTTATTAAGTTCCTACAATGTTACTTTGTTGTATTTTTTAATTTTGTATTTAGATAGATATGCTTCACCTCTGGAGCATATTTCAGGCTAAGAGAAGAACATTTTACGCTCATTTTAAATTAAAATCGGTTAAGTTGTGAACGTTTGGCTAAAAGTAATATTGCAATCTTGAGGAAGTCGATCCATACTGTCAATAAAAACCACAGCAGCAAACATGTTTATTAACTTATTCCTTTTATTTTTTTTCTTGCATATACAACCTAATTTAACTAACGAGATATTACAGAATATGTCCACGCTACAGAAGCTGAATGTCACCACGTACATCGTTCTCTTTAGGCCTGATGCTGCTTCCTAAAACTCAACCCAAGTGTGTAACTAAATGCACATGGTGGTGTGGTGGTTCGCACTATCGCCCCACGGCAAGAAGGTCCTGGGTTCGACGCCCGGTGGCCTTTCTGTGTGGAGTCTGCATGTTCTCCCCACTTGTTTGTGTGGGTTCTCTCTGAGTACTCCGGTATTCCACCCACAGTACAAAGACATGCGCTGGGGATCAGGTTGATTGGTGACTCTAAATTGTGTGTGAGTGTGAAAGGTTGTATTTCTCTGTGTTGGCCCAATTTGCGACTGATCTTGCCGCAAGTTGGCTGGGATTGATTCCAGGCGACCCTGTGTGGAGGATAAGTGGTTTGAAGATGGATGGATGGATGGATGGGATGGATCAGACGTATCGTCCATCCCCCCCCCTGGAGGGCCGATGGAACGGGACCGCCGAGTCGCTGTCAAAGTGCCTCATGTTGATGAATGATGAGCAGATTCATCAAAGTAACCCTACTGGAGGAATGCAGAGCTGCTGGGGATTGTGGGTAATACTTGGGTTCCATTAAATAAATAATTATTATTATAATTAAAGTTCACATCAAGTTCTGAAGTGTCATGTTCAAATATGCAAATTATCTCATGGTAACTTTGGGTGAATTTAAGAGAAATCTTGAGAAAACACAAAGTAGTTGTAACGCACCACAAGAGACCAGAGTGAACTCAAGCGCAGAGCGCAGTTTTATTAGCGGGGTACAGACAAGGATCAGGCGTGGTAGGGTCCGGTGAACAGGCAGGGGTCGAAAGCCGGGAGCGCGGAGGTAGGCATAGGTACCGTCGAGGGTCAGGCAGGCGTGAACGAGGTCTGGGACAAAGGAGAGGTCAAATAACAGGTAGGCAGAAACAGGATATCTAGAGAACGCTCAGAATGTGATGGCAACATGCACGAGACTTCACACCGGCTTCTGAGACTTCGGCAGCTTAAATGCCCAACCTCTCCTGATGAGAGACGAGCCACAGGTGCGTTGGTGAGAGTGGCCGTGCCCGCTCAGTGGGCTGATCCTGAGTGGCACAAACCATTGTCACGTGCCACAGAGGGGTGACTGAGATCCCGAGCTTCGGACTTTAGTACTCCGGAGACGGGGAACGTCTGCTTGTGACAGTAGTAAAATAAATGAGTCAAATAAAAACGTGTTATGGGAGAAAAATAGATTATTGATTGTAAATGAAAAGCTTAAATTTGGTGAAACTGCTTTAAATAAATGCAGCTTCACATTGTCTTTTTTTTTAATATTCTGGGCTTCTTTCTCACTGATGTCACACTTATGTTTAATGTTTAATCTGTGTCTGTTTAGAGTCACTTTCACAGAGTTACCACTGAAGAAAAGAGTTTTTGACACAAGGCAACGATCAAATACGTTGAGTGTCGTGTGAAGGCACTTGTTTTTGTCTCTGTCACATGAACATGTTATTATCACAAGGAAAATTAAGTTTAACACGTTTTTCTTCTCTTATTCTTTATTATATTCATACTGTGACAAATGTTTGGAAAATGAATCATATTTACTGGTTTCATCCTATCGGTGACTTTCTCTCTGCTGGCCAGGACCAGTCACTGCACACTAATGACGTATTACAAACAAGCAAATATGGCAATTTTTGTGTAGAATGAAAAGTCGTTTTATAGAAAATGTTATAAAATGTCATATCCTAAATAGGATACGATATCTAAATGATGATCTATTGATTCATCCACAGAGGCAACGAGCACAACAACATTAAAACACACCTCGTTGACCTCTTTCACACCATCTGCAACACCACAAGTCCCAGAGAGCTGTGGACCCCCCAGAGTCCAGACCACCTCAGGTACCCCTCACCTGCTGCACCTGCATCTACACCCACATGAACCTACATCAGCTGTGTGACGTCCTGTACAGACGGAACTATGTGGTGAGCAGAGAGGAAGGTTCTCCACCAGGAGGAGATTCTCCCTCC